TGTGTGTGTGTGTGTATGTGTGTGTCTGTGTGTGTCTGTGTCTATGTCTCCGTGTGTTTTTGTACTTGCACATGCTTGCCATGGCATGTATGTGGAGGTCAGAAGACAACTTGTGGGAGTCAGTTCTCTAGAGAGCAAACCCAGGTCATCAGGCTAGGTGGCAAGCAGCATAGGCACTGAGCTGTTTGCAAGCCCCAAGGATGGTGAGGTTGGTTCTTAACTACTCAGAGCAGTTTCAGTTTTTTTAATGTAGCTGAAAATCCATCAGTGACAAATGATAACTCTGGGTGCTTTCAAATGTTGAATTCCTTGCTAGTTTCATACTTTCCTTTTTTGTCAGTGTGTGAGACTGTTCCTGTGTGTACAGGTGCACATGTGTGTATGGGTCGTGTGAATGTGTGTGCATGTGCATGAACCTGGGCAGGCCAGAGTTCAGCATCAGGTGTTGTTCCTCAGGGTTCATCAATCTTGATTTTTTTTAACATAGGATCTCTCACTGGGTTTTGGGGCTCACTGAGGATTAGGCTGAGCTACAAACCTCCGAGACCCTCTGTCTCTCTTTCCCCAGCATTGGGATTATAACTGTTCATCGTCAAACCTTGCTCTTTACTTGGGTTCTGACAATTGAATTCAGGTCCTCCCATGTGTGTGGCAGATATTTTACCAGCTGAGCTATTTCTCCATGCCCCATCCTCTTGCTTTTGAATATTTTCTCTGGGTATCAACACCCAAACTCTCAAACACCAAAGTGTCTTCTGACCTGTTCGAGTGTTTGTGAGAGGAACGCAGAGTGGGGAACAGGAAACAGTCTCCTGGGATGCTAAATAGAGTCTCCCAGGACTGGTTGGTGCCAGGGCTGATGGAGGGAATTCCAAGAAAATAGTGGGGCAAACAGCATGCATACTCTTAACGAAATACATGCCAATGTTCAAAACAACAGGAAACAGTCTCCTGGGATGCTAAATAGAGTCTCCCAGGACTGGTTGGTACCAGGGCTGATAGAGGGAATTCCAAGAAAGTAGTGGGGCAAACAGCATACATACTCTTAACGAAACACATGCCAATGTTCAAAACCAAACCAAACGAAAACCGCTGCATCCCAGAACGAAAACTATGACATCCAAGAGTGTTGGTATCAAAAGACATTGTTTTGTCATTTTTCTACATCATGTATTGAGATAGTGTATGTAATTTAAAGGATTATAAGTTTAGTCAAATTTGAATGATTTTAATTTTATATATATGGCATACATATGTGTGTGTGTCTTCTAGAAACTACAAGATGATTCACTGAAAGAAAATCTACGCTTAGCTCAAGAGTATCAGAAGATGCAGATGATTTTCTTAAAAGAAAAGGAGACTTACTTCAGTGGGTACAGCAGATGGCTGTCCCTCAGTGCTTCCATCTGCGATAAGAAACAGGTATTAATTTTCTAATTTTTAAAATAATGCTATATTTCTGTGTGCCCTCCAGAAAGTAAAATGTATTCAACATGGGGTTCTTCAACCTGAGAATGATCCTTATAGCATAAAAAGGTATAATTTCCTTTTGTTGAGTTTTTTATTATTTTGTTTGGCATTTGTTGTTGTTGATGATGTTTTTCTGGTTTTCTTTGGGGTAGACATTATCATTGTTTGTTTTTTTGAGATAGGTCCTTTCTTTAGCCCCTGCTAGCCTGAAACTCATTATGTAGACCAGAGATTGTCCTGCCTCTGCCCTCTGAGTGCTGAGATTAAAGGCATGTGCTGCCATATCTGGATTTTCTGTTAAGTCTTAAGATAGGAAAACTTGGCTTCTAATCCTTTTGTTAGTATATATTTGCATTTAGTTATCATGACCATAAATCATACAAGTTTTCTTATTTTTCAGATTTACATATGGTATTTTAGACTTCTGGTTTCAATTCTAACTGTATGCGACCTCATAATAGACCTCTAAATCTTCCTTTTGGGATTTATGCCCCAAATCTCCATTTTTCTTATTGGCGTGAAGATAAACTAGACATTTGGAGCAATAGCTGACGCTCTCTGGTTTCTGGAAATGGCTGGCAATTCTAACTGTATTTTGTAGAATCTTCTGTTGTAAAAGTAAATATATGTGACAAAGAAGGAAAGGTTCTCTGTGAGCCAGAGAGGGGCAGGAAGCATGTTGGAGGGTCACAGTGTAGCCACTTTGCATTTATTCTGCAGATACCTCGTGGTAAGATAAAATTATTTTGCCTTAATCTCTGGTTTCAGGGTTCATTTTTCAAAAATATTAAGGGATGGCTCTTTTTAAATAACTTATGTGTGACATGAGGACCAGTACACAGCTAATGAATCTTTTCTCCTGGCATCGCCCACATTGCAGTGTATAAGTTACATCAGAACTGCTCTTCTATGTGCAGCTCCATTTTGGATGTTTGGGAAGACAGACGGCTAGGTGTCTAATATTCAGTATTGCAACTATTATTATTGTTGTTTACTCTTTCTGTTCTTGGTTTTCTCTTTTATAAATTAATGTTTACATCACAGTGTAATTGATTAGGAATAAAACAAAGATTCATGATAAGTTACTCTGAATACAGGATGCTAAGTAGCTATGATTATTAATTTAATACATATGCCACTTATAGATGCCCCTGTTTCCCTTACAGCCGCTCAGATGAGAGTTAAAACATCTGTATCTACCGAGAGAAAGAGGGGCTCAATTTTACAAATTTGTATTGAAATAGTAGCAGATGGGGGCAGACAAAGGAACAAACTGGGTTTGGGAAAGAATTGGAAAGTATAAAGTACAACCATCTGATGTGGTCTTAGTATTCTCAAACCAGTGTTCAGGATTCAAATAAAATGTCTGTGTGATGGAGCACTGTTCAGTCCCTTCATACTTGCACATTGTTATTCAAGTCAGACATGTTACATGTGTCGCTCATAATTGGAGAGAAGAAAACAAAAATTGATATTTTGTTTTTCTTTTCCTAATCAAGGAGACAACGAAAACAAGCTATGTGAACACATGTGAAATTTCGTACAGAATTCTTTGGTGGCAAATGACAGATACTGTTTAAACGGTGAAAGATCATGCCTTTTAAGAGAGAACTTTAACACCTAATTTCCATAGTAAGAATATGATCTTAGTCTCCTTTATTGAATTAAATCAACTCCTGATACAAGTTACAAAGAGCATGACCCTGTTAGGAAGAGAGACGATGGCAAATTCTAGGAGATGGTCTTCTGTTTGAGCTCCTTCAAATGAAGCACTGTTAGCATACCTGTTTCAGGGAAACTTTCAGAGATTTATTTGTACTTCCAGCCATTTTTCATCTTCATCCTTCAGCGATGGAGGTCATTAAGTGCAGGCTGCCCTTGTCAGTGTCATGTAGGATCAATTTGCTGCAATGGACAGAGAGGCCGTATTGATGCTGTTAATCTGTCAGTGAGAAATCATATGTCATTAGTGTCTAATGCGCCACTTACAGGATGGAATTTGGCCATCAGAAACGAGACAACCCTTTAATATTTTAGTTCATTTCCTTGATGTTGCAGCATTTCCTACATAGGTGGAGTTTATTCCTCTGATCCGTTTAATTTGGGGTACACAAAGCATGGTTTAACCTCTGATTCTCTTGTTGAATATCTTGTCAAAGAAAATGAATGGCCCTCATGAATTTTGTGTGAGCTCGTCTTGTTTTAGATGAATTTCCTTGGCTCTGAACCTGAATTGTTTTTGTCATGATAGATAATTATATTTTAATAATTAGGATCCTTAAAGGATAGCGTTCTATCTAGAAACAGTAAACATTTTTATTTACCTCTTTGTATACTTGTAGGCCAAAAGTAGCAAAGAAACTTGGTGGACAATCAAATCAAATTAAAGATAATGTCCCTTTCCTTATCATAATTTGCATCCTGGCATTTCAAATGTGCGAATGCTGCTGCATTGTTCCGGTGATGATGTTATGTCTGTTTGCTTCTTCATACTCCTGGGACTTTTCATATTTTCAAGTGATGGATATTTTCCCCTTTGAACATCAGAAAGAGGCAAATGCAATTATGCAAAATTCTTATTTGCCCCGTTCATGGGTAACCATAGGATCAAATCCAATTGAAAACTTCTCAGATGTCAAAATTAAAAATAACACTAGAAACGAAGGAAGGAAAACTTGCCTGAAAAACAGGGTTCACTTCTATGTGAATTTGTATTTGCCCATCATTTTCCTAAGTAGATTTCAAGTATAACTTTGTATTTTCTCTTAAAACTACCCATGACTATTTCCATGAAACCACATGTATCTGTCTCAACAGCCATCTGAAATTCTTCAGCCCACAAAGAAAGACAAGTTAAACTTTCATGGAAATGGTTTTTAAATTGTTGTAAATTCTTTCCAAAGCCATTTGTGAAGTTTAACTATTTCTCACTAAAAACCCCAGTGTTTGTAAATGAAGGAAATAAAAACTATGACAGAATCAGCCAGTACTTAACAAGCATTTCTATGAAACCAGAAGGATCAGGAGTTCAAGGTCATCCATGGCTACATAGTGAATTTGAGGCCAGACTGGGCTACATGAAGGAAGGAAGGAAGGAAGGAAGGAAGGAAAGAAGGAAAGAAGGAAGGTAGGAAGGCTGTAACTGGCAAACATCAATTTTTAGATTGTAAATTTAAGGGATTTTTTTTGGTTCACATAAAATTTTATCATTTATTGAAGATGAAAGCAAATTCCCATACAATGAGATAGAGAGTTGAAGGCTTCTGGGGGAAGGAGTGCTGGTTCCTTTAAGGGTGTGGCTACTGGTATGTCAACCAAGCTGCAGTGGATGGCTCCACGCCCATACGTATATAGACAGCACAAATTGCTATCAATTGGTTATTTATTGTCTAAAAAATATTTATTTACGTAAAAACATCTTTTTAATGCCTATCTCCAATTCTAGAATTTTTCCTATTGTTGTTGTTGTTGTTGTTGTTGTTGTTGCCATCAGTATAAGATGCAGAACCGAGATTGCGTATCTCATGAGATCACCCAAGTAGAGGGAGACCATCTGTGACACAACTCAAGCTTGTCTAACGTCCAACCTCTTCATAGTCATAGAATGAATTCTGTACTAGCCCACTAACTCACAACACTACACATGTCTCATCAGGTTTTATAAATCTTACAAAAGCCACATCGATTACCCAGCATCTGTCTGGTGTACGGCTAAAAGAATTTTTTTACCCACTAATAGTTTCTATAATGCTATGTCTTTGGAGCCCCTCTTCAATGGTAGTTTTGAGAAGAGAGGGACATCAATTTCATTAGAAGTGATTTAATTTCCATAGGACTATGGGTCAGTTTCATAATTACAAATTATAAAATCTATCAATGAGGAGCACCCTTGGAAAAATTTCAGATGAGGACTCTTGGAAGGGAGAGTGCTTCAACAATTCAATACACGCACAGTTAGGAAGTGAAGTCGTTCTAGGACACAGCTGTAACTTAGTTTTTAATGTCATCTTCAGTTCTATGCTGGGTTAATGTGTGATTGAGTCAGCATGGGTCTTGTGCATGCTGTCACCATTGTTGCAAGTTCATATGAGCAAGTTCCCAGCCCGAAAGTCTCTGTTTCCTTATGTTCATGTACCAACCCTGGCTCTCACAGTCTTTCCACCATCTCTTCCACAATGGTCCCTGAGCCATGGCTGGGTGAGGTTAATACAGGAGTCCTAGCCAGGGACACGTACTCTAAAGCCTCTTAGTCTCTAAAACTTGGCCAGTTGTGGCCTTCTGTGTGCGTTGCACTCCGTTGCATGAGGAAGCTTTGCTGGTGAGAGTTGAGGGGTGCATTACTATTCTCTCTCTCCACCCCGTCACGCTATGTTCCATGAGCCTTAGGTGTCAAAGTTTCACTCTAGATGTGTCACTTAGGGCTGGACATCTCTCAGCCATATATTCTCTGTGTGTGACAAATTGTGGAACTCTGTAGTAGCTTCCATCTATAGCAAGAAGCTTCTTTGATGAGTGGTATATGGTACACTCCTAAATGTAAGGATCCATATTTAGCATACAGTAAGAAATTTCATTTGTCTAGAGATATGACAGAGGTAGGGTTTTCTCTAGGATCTATGACCTCTCCAGCCATGTGTATTTGGCTACATTTACAGTGCCACCCTTGATCTGCAGCAGGTCCCAAACTTCGCTAGGGAAATATTGACAAGTGATTACTGCGGGGCGATGGCGAGTAGATCTTTATAAAGGAGAGACTCTAGACAGGCTGACCAGACTTCAGTGGATGGACTTGCACCAAGGGACATCTGGGTACAAATGCTTGACCAAATAGGTCTTGACATATATGACAGAATGCATGAAATCCTGTTGGGGGAGGTGTATGGGGGTACAGGTGGGAGAACAAGATCTATTATATGAAATGCAAAAGAACTCAATAAAAATATATTAAAATA